GTAGCTGATAACATCTCACCCTGTCCTGCTTGGGGCTATAAATCATCTCTCCACCATGCACATTCTCTTGCCTGTTAGTCACTTACTAGTAATCCAAGTTATTAAGTCAATTGTCATGGTATCGTAGTACTTGTGTTCAAGTCACCCTCATTTTACTTAATGTCCTCAAAGCCATTCACAATACTTTTATTACAGCATATTGTTACAATTTTTCTAGTTCATTACTAGTTACTATTATAATTATTCTATTTTATTATTCTTACTGTGCCTAATTAATAAATTAATCATCAGATGTATGTATAGGAGAAAAATAGCATACATAGGGTTGGGTACTTACCATGGTTTTAGGTATCCACAGGGGGTTTTGGAATATATTCTTCATGGATAAGGGGAAACTACTGTGGTCAAACTCACAGAAGCAGAGTAGAATGGTGGTTGCCAAGGGCTAGGTAAATAAATTCTGGAGATCAATTATTTTAAAAATTAAAAAAAAAGCACCAGGTCACAGAGCCACCCCATAGACTGAAGCAGCGTTCAGCAAGGGAGTAGGTCTGAGTATTGGTTTTGACTATCTGGTGAGAACAGTTTTTTTTTTTTAAAAAAAATTTTATTGATTTTTCACAGAGGGGAAGGGAGGATAGAGAGTTAGAAACATCGATGAGAGAGAAACATAGATCAGCTGCCTCCTGCACACTCCCTACTGGGGATGTGCCCACAACCAAGGTACATGCCCTTGACTGGAATCGAACCCGGGACCCTTGAGTCCGCAGGCTGACACTCTCCACTGAGCCAAACCAGTCAGGGCAGAACAGTTTTTATTTTCACTTATTTGTAGGAGATGGGCTCTAAAATGAGACAAAATTAACTTTACTGTTCATGTGTTATTTACTGGCTGTGAGCAAGTTATTTCCTCTCTCTTGGTCTGTCTCTCTTGTTAACATCTCATTATTGTGAAAAGTGAATAAGGTAAAAAAGTTCTCAGCACAATGCCTAGCTCCTGTCACACAAGAAATGTTCATTAAAAAAATTACATAAATTAGCTGAGATCTGAGTACCTTCAAGCCTGCTGAAACTGGACTAGTGAATCACGGGTAGGGCAACATAGCTGGACTTGGTAACGCCCACAGGGGACGTACAGAAACACGGGACATTAGATGTTAGGAAGGGACATAAAGATATAAGACATTTTCAGACTTGTTAGTAAAACCTTAGAAAAAGCTAGCTTCTTTAAAAAATGATTTTAATTATCTCGTGTTTTCTCAAAACCGGCATCCTCTGGCTAGGAATCGTCTTTGCACTTTCCTTTGTGTGATAGATGAGCGTTGCCCGACATGTGAGCCACCGTTCTACCCCAGCCCTGTAAATGGGCAAAGGGCAAAGCAGCTGCACCCAGTGATGCCGGGAAGGACAATCCACACCCCTCCCAGTACAGGGTCCCTTTTTAAAGGGGGTATTAGGGATTAATAGCAGCTGCGGAATGCAATGCGTAGAAGTTGCTAGGGTGGCCAGACAGTCCTTCGTTTGCTTCTTTTTATAGCTGTGCTTCAGGATATGCCACAATGGCTCAGCGGCCTGCATTCCACCCCATGCGCAGCATTTCCTCAGAGAACCATTGTGATGTGATCTTTGCCTTTACTTCACTGATTTCGGTTTGCAATAGGAGTATTTAGAAGGCTACTTGGCCAATATTTAGATACAATTACGCTTAGGCTCCATGGTCCTAACGGCAGCAATCCTTTAGCCAGGCGTCACTTTTAAAAAAAATTACATATATTAGCTGAGATCTGAGTACCTTCAAGCCTGCTGAAACTGGACTAGTGAATCACGGGTAGGGCAACATAGCTGGACTTGGTAACGCCCACAGGGGACGTACAGAAACACGGGACATTAGATGTTAGGAAGGGACATAAAGATATAAGACATTTTCAGACTTGTTAGTAAAACCTTAGAAAAAGCTAGCTTCTTTAAAAAATGATTTTAATTATCTCGTGTATCCTCAAAACCGGCATCCTCTGGCTAGGAATCGTCTTTGCATACTTTCCTTTGTGTGATACTTGAGTGTTGCCCGACATGTGAACCACCGTTCTATCCCAGCCCTGTAAATGAGACTACCCTCGGTTGCAGCTGCGGAATGCAATGCGTAGAAGTTGCTAGGGTGGCCAGACAGTCCTTCGTTCGCTTCTTTTTATAGCTGTGCTTCAGGATATGCCACAGTGGCTCAGCGGCCTGCATTCCACCCCATGCGCACCGTTTCCTCAGAGAACCATTGTGATGTGATCTTTGTCTTTACTTCACTGATTTCGGTTTGCAATAGGAGTAGTATTTAGAAGGCTACTTGGCCAATATTTAGATACAATTACACTTAGGCTCCATGGTCCTAACGGCAGCAATCCTTTAGCCAGGTGTCACTGAAACAAAGCCTATCTCTCACTTGACTGTATAATGGTTTGACATTAATGGTTCAGAACAAATACAGTGAACATCTACCATGTGTCAGGTACTATTAAAGCTGCTGATAAATTTTCTCAATCAGTGATTATATTTCAATGAAAAGCTTTGGGGAAAAAAATCCTAATGCTGATGATCTGGCTGGCATTTGGGACAGAGTTGACCTGAAACTGAGTAACTTGGCACGAGGTGCACCCACTGCAGTGGAGAATCCATACTCACAGCACTGGCTCCAGCGCAGGGCAGTGGGGTGGAGAGAGAAGCCTTTGGCCTCCCAGAGGGCTCTCTCCTGCTGCTGGGCTGGCAGGCAGAAGCCAGAGGGACACCATTAAGTGGCTGCAGCAATCCAAGTGGCCTGCTGTTGGGGGAAAACCCCAAAAGTCTGCGGTCAGGATTGATTCCAAAGAACTGACATGTAGCCTTATTTCAATTCATAAGAGCTTTAATAGGAGAAACTTACATGGGCAAAGGGCAAAGCAGCTGCACCCAGTGATGGCGGGCAGGACAATCCACACCCCTCCCAGTACAGGGTCCCTTTTTAAAGGGGATATTAGGGGTTAATAGCAAAACCAGACGGCAGGTAGTTGTATTGACCTCCTGAGAGAACAGTGTATCACTATGTTAAAGGAAAAGTTAAAAGATAATATCAGGCAGTTATTATACTCTATCCAGTGGTTCTCAACCTTCCTAATGCCGTGACCCTTTAATACAGTTCCTCATGTTGTGGTGACCCCCAATTTCATTGTTACAAATTGAACATAATTAAAGCATAGTGATTAATCACAAAAACAATATTATATATGTTTTCTGATGGTCTTAGGCGACCCCTGTGAAAGGGTCACGACCCACAGGTTGAGAACCGCTGTGAGGGCACGTTTGCCCTTTTGGGTGGCATTCCGTCTTTGGGGTAATTAGCCAAGAGTGAGGATACAGAATTAAACAGTCCCCAAAAAGCTCATCTCCCAGGCGCCTTGGCTACTGGAGCCATAATGCATCTTTAAAGTGAGCTCCCCTGCACCTGCGATGTGGCAAGCCTGAGAGGAGACTCATGACGCTTCTCCCCAAATTTCTGCTGTTCCCCTCACCCTCCTTTGGAATTCAAGGAGCGGACTTGGGCAGGGCCTAAATGTCAGGAATTCAGCCGTGCGTGGGGGCTGCAACCCTGGACTATGGAAATAGTGTCCACAGCCAGGTGAGAGGACATCCTACAGAGAAAAAGCCCTGATAAAAGTGAGGGGTTATTCTCACCAGTATCCAATCCTTGGACCCACTGTTACATCTTACCCTGACTTCTTTTGCCCTGAACATAACTTTGAATATCATCTTGAGATTTTCTTGGGTGTCTAGAGCTCAGGACTTGGGCTGAGTCTTACCGTCTCCCATGTTAAAGGATTCCATTTACTTTCTAGGAAGCTAGCCTTGATGATGTCCTATTTACAGGCTTTCTGACCATTGGTTTCTCCCTTTATGGTCTGTACACTGGTCCTCAAACTTGGGCGTACATCAGAATCACATGGAGGGCTTGTTACAGCAGACTGCTGGACCCAGCCCCATAGTTTGGGTAGGACCGGGCTGGGCATTTCGATCAAGTTCTCAGTTTATGGTGATATTATTAGTCCAGGGACCATCTTTTGAGAATCACTGGCAATGCAGGAGGAAAGAAACAAAATCTCGTAACCGTCTGATACATTGTGCTGTGTGAAAGTCCTGCGATGGTTGCTCTCTAATCACCAATTTCGCAGTAACTCACCCTTAACTCTTTCTTTCCTATAGATGTGCTTACCATCAGCAGATACTGGTCTTCTCTTCAATTACATAAGGGGGCTCTGTCCCCTTTAACACATATTTAGCCAGACTTAAATACTTTTATAGACCTCAGTTCTTAAAACAAGAACTTCAGTGCTTATAACCTTTTCTGTGGACACTCCCACCTACAACCACACATACTACCTGTGTGTACTCTTCTGTCGACCACATGAAAGTTCTGAAAGACAGCTTTTGCTGTATTTTAGCATCTGTACATATTTTTGGACCATTTCAAAGTAAACTACACAACAGTCTTGGATTATCAACAAGATTACAACAGAATCACAAATTTTACCTACAATTTGAGGTTTAAAGTGGTTTAATGTTAAATCAGAACATTTATACTGAAAAACATACCCTATAAAAGTGCTCAGGGTGAGTTTTGGAAAAAATGGTGACCCTTCAAGGACTGTGCAACTTACATGAGCACGTGAAAGATCGATCAACTTTAACACTTATTTAGACCCTGGTGACCCAGGCTGTGCTGGTTGCCTTGTCCCTTGTAATGGACCCAACATTTATAGCAAAGCCATTTGTATCAAGAGACTGACACAAAAGCAAAACTTCCCAATGAGCAGCCAGAATTAAATCGTTCCTATGTCTTATTTTTCTTTCCACTGGAAGTGGGATTCAGGGAGAAAATTTAGATTAATTACATGTTTAAGTTGATCAAAGTACTGGTTCAGTTGTGAAGACTGGAAAAGGGAGGCGATAGTAACTGAGGGAGAAAAATGGCTTCCAACATGTTAGCTGTAGCACAATTCAAGTTTATTCCATTTGTTCTTGCAACACAAAACTTAAACACAGTATTAGTTAGCATTCTGATGTACATGAACTAGGATAATATGAGAAACCCAATTGTGTCAAAAGTATTACATTGTGGAAAAAATGAACTCAAATATATCAAAATGCACAAAGCATTAGTCTTCCTCTGTTACTGCTTAGAAAGATATGATTGTTTCTCCATTTACAAAATAGAATCAGGACAATTTAAATTCTTTAAATTTTGCATGCAAAAACACTGCAACTGCTTATGTAGGAGGGCACTCTCACCAGCTTCTATACACAATCGAGTATGCAATATTTCATGGAAGAAAACAGCAGCTTAATTGAAGTGTTAGGGGAAAAAAATCAAATACGTACATACTGATTTGAACTCCATTATTTGAGAAAAAGAATCAATGAATAAAGGGGCTACTTGCTTGCAGCTTCCACACACTGAACCACCTACCTCCCCTTCATGCCCCACTGGGTTTAGAAGGTGAGCTATGCATAGAAGAACTACTTGGTTTACTCAGGTGCTGTATTTGAACTGTAATTCTATAGATACCAGTCTGAAGCTGCAAGGGAGAATTTGTTAGTATACTAATAGCATAGTAAACACTCGGGTGTTTTTATACACCTGTTTTTAATTGCTATAGTGCATACGAAATGACTGACTTAATACAAAACTACAGAACATGCAAGGTTTTTGCTGAGATGTTAAATATTACTTCAGTGGAGAAAAAAAAAAAACGTACTTAACCTTTCACTAATGCATGTAGTACCAAAAAAGCAGACATGGTTTTAACTTCCTTTACTCAAATATGAACATTAAGTGTTGTGAATTTTTCTGCCAAGTGGTTCAGAAATACATTATAAATAACCTAGTTAAAAAAAAAAAAGAAATTGTAAACCATCTTGGCCAGACTAGTCTATGTTTACATGTTATTTTCTCAAGCAACTGCTTCATAATTATGGGGTTTACAAAAAGACTGGGAAAGAAGAAGGCGCAGTAGCCTCCACTGCATCACAGGGAACACAGGGCAAACTGTACAAAAAGTCACCTGGCTTCTACACCGGTGACTGTGGGAAGCAGACCAGGTTCAGGAATGATAGGACAGTGCACTCTCTGCAATAGCCAACTAGAACAAAACACTGAGGATGTAAAGGTAAAACTGTGTAGAGGGTAATCCAAGCCTTTTAGATCACATTATGCCAAGAGGTGAAAACAAAGATTTCAAAACACCTTGTTGATGGTTAAAGACTGATAGAGTGCCCTCCATCTCCAATGAGGATGGCTCCAGGTTTCAGTTCAGTGCGGTCATGAAGTACTGATTACTGACTTTTACTGACTCTAACAGGCTGCATTAAGGCAGCAGAATTAGCCAAATGTACAGGGTTAGGCTAGTTTTAAGTGAAAAAAGCCACAGGATAAAAAAGGGTTCATAGGGAAAAGTACACATGTACGTGTACACACACACACACACACACACACACACACACACACACACCACACACTAACCAACCAATCAGCAACTGATCAATAAGACCTATTAGCCAGGCTGACGGTTCTTTGATAGTTTAACTTTGCTGTCGAATGCTACATTGCCTTAAAAAACCATCCATAATTCTTTATTATCCACACACACACACACACACACACACACACACACACACACTCCACACACTAACCAATCAGCAACTGATCAATAAGACTCATTAGCCAGGCTGACGGTTCTTTGATAGTTTAACTTTGCTGTCGAATGCTACATTGCCTTAAAAAACCATCCATAATTCTTTATTATCCACAATCTGAATACTAGTCCCTAACCCCCCGTTTTTAAAAATTTGAGGTACATTTAGTTATTGCATGACATGGCTAAGGAAAAATCCTAGTATTTTTAGAAAGCTTAAATGGGTGGCAGGTCAAAGGAATCTTAGTATTTTAAATGCACAACAGCAAAATTTAAGAGTATATGCTCTAATTAGTCATACTGCTCAAGAAATAAACATTTGAAAATGTGTCTAAACATTTTCTGCAGGTCATAATTATTTTAGGGCTGTATTTAAGGGCACAGAGTACATCTTGAAAGTGTCACACTTTATATGATGCATGATTTAGAAAAGAATAAAAAATATACTGTGCAGGTGGGCTGGCCTATGTTCAGCAGAAGTTTATCAACAGCTGGGGAACCTGGTAACAAGCATATTTTTGAAGAGATGGGGGTTAAATTTGTCCAAATAGTAAATCTCACCCCAGTGATAGCTTTGGTGCAATAAGTAATCAGCATTCAAGATGGGTCAAAGAGACATTCCAACAATGTTCCTTGTTCTCCACACATAACCGGGGCCAATCCATTCAAATAGCAAATGAAGAAAACTATAGGTACGAAGACAACTGTTCTCTCTTTGTATGATACTAACAGGCTTATGGCTATGATTCTAGTTTTACATCCCCTTTTACTACCAGCAAAGTTTAAAAGTGTTTCAATGTTATATAAGTATTTGAATCTAGAGGAGAAAAATTTATGCATACTGGAATGGTTTCTCCTATAGACTTCCAAAATTTAAGATTTTATAAATAAAACTAGTCAGTTTTACCTAAAGATACATGAAATCCATGTGAAAGGGGAGAGGAAATCCAAAGTTCAGGCATCTAGCAATTTAGGTGTGCCCCATCTCACCTTCACTGAGCTTTCGCGTAAAGGCGGAAAGTCACTGAGGCAAGATTTGGTCACCAACCACAGGCAGCGATCTTCACTACACCAGGAGATTCCCCAGAGTGCACCTTAAGGCAGAAGGCTAGAGCTAATTGCTTATCTCAGCACCCTAAGTTTACATCACAGCAGCCACTACTGCTCAAACAGTTAGGGCTACCGATTATGTAGAGTTGGCCTTTGTATAATCAGACCCTCGACACAATCTAATTAATGAATTAGCTAGGGAGCTGAGAAGGTCAAATGTTACCGTATGTCTTTGCTCTCCCTTGGGTATAATCTGTGTATTTTTGGAAATGGAAAAGAGGCTGACTTGATCAGGAGGCTTTGTAAAAGCCTGATTGTAGTTTTTGCCTCTCCTCCAAAACATTGGTTTTTGTTTTTGTTTTCTGGTAGTCTGATTTCTTATGAATTTCTCTCTCCCCTCACCCCTCCTAAAGTATTTAGCTGAAGAAGCTGGCAGATAGAGAGTGACAGACAGACAGGCAGCAGTGTGAGGCCACAGGAGAGTCATTCTTCCAGAGCTGTCAGCCCATCCATCCATCACTGAAGTAGGGCTTTGATTGCCTGGTTGTCAGTGGCTTCAAAAGCAGTTAGTCCATCTGGGCCTTTCACAGTCTTATCAGCACCCTGGAAAAGAATGGGAAAAGCCTTTATCATTATGAGCCCACAACTGAGAGAAGAGAACGAGACTAGATTACTCGGCATCCGCTAGTGTTTATACCTAGAATTAAAAAATTCTCTTACTTAAACAGAGTTCATCCTATTGAAGAACAAACCCTAAACACTTCGCCAAGTTATAGATTAAGTTATAAAAATGTCAGATTATTTTTCAGGCACTAGAAATTGTAAACTACACACACAACTTGCCAATAACATTGGCAACGACTGGCTTTTATTATACTAGCATGTATTTGCCCAATTAATTAACCTTTAAAAATTAATACCCCTAGGTGTAATGTAAAATCTCTTGCTAAAAAAGGAAGTATCATGGTGACGAAATTATCTTTCCCCTCTCTGCAACTTTTTGGAGAGTAGACCTAAGTGTTACGCACATTATTTCTAAAAATCTGGGGCTTACAAAACTTTTATTTTAGACAGAGTCCTAAAGAACACGTGTAATACTGATCGTTATTCTTATAAACACTTAGCAGTGAGTGGCTGGGACATGGCTAGGAAAGGGGCTCTGTGACGCACTCTGGGGATGAAATGCTCTCCAGCCTGCCTCAGTGCTCCTGGAGGCTGCTGTTCTGGATCATTTAGTTGCAACACGGTATTTTAGGTTTGAGAATGTGGACCTATACCTTTGTGTCCACCCACTGTTTTAAATCTGTCTTCTTTACTAGGATAAAAGTTCCATGGGAGCAGGAACCGTGTCCCCAGTGCCTAGGAAAGTGCCCAGTGCATGGTAGCTGAATGTGCTCCCTGAGCCTCTTTAACTACCAGAGACAGCATTATTCCCCCATTGAGGGTTCTCTTTGCTAGCTCCACCCAACCAGGATTCAGTCACCAATTAGTCTCTAGCATCTTTGCCAAATCTCATTATGTGTTCCTAAGGCCTAGCCTACAGAGCTGACTAAACTTGGCATAGGTGGTCCTTTAAAGACCAACTCTAGTCTAACTCAGCAGTCTCTTCTCCCATTAATCTTTCTATGCTTCAATCCTATGGAATTTCTCACCATTTCTGAACATACCATGTGCCACACCTTTATACATGCTGGTTCCCAAATGGAATGTCTTACCCCCTTTCCCTGGCAAATCTATTCAATCACTCAACAAATATTTACTGAATGTTTGATGTGTAGACATTGTAAGGGACTGGAGAATCAAAGAAAAACAAGACAATCTGCCAGCCTGGCTGGTGTGGGAGACAGACAAATCAACCAGTATGAATCAGTGGGATGAGAACAATAATGGCGTTATGCACCATGATGAATGGCCTGTAACGCAGAATGGGATGTGATAGAGGGTGTAACAAAGAAAGTCTTTCTGGATGAGGCAATGCCTGCCCTGAGTCTTAATGAGTAAGTACAATATGATTAGGTAAATCAGGAAGGAGATGACGACAGATTCTAGGAAGTGTGAAGTTATTACAAAGTCCTCTTCAATATGATCTTAAGTCTCCATTTCCTCATTTTCTAACTTAACTGCTTTATGGAACACATGGAACTCATTGCTAAGTGGGAGAGAAACCTGTAAGAACTTCAATATGGTAAATCCTCCAACATAGGTTAAATGACAATAATTGCGATCACTGTATTCAAAACAAATTCATTTTGATAGTTTTTATAATTAGCACTGTACTATAATTCTGCATTAACACAAAGTTAAATAGTACAGTGGACATATGTTGCTTTTTCAGCTTCCAGAGTTCATTTCCCTTCTTTTGGTAACTGCATCCTAATTTCATTTTGAGGAATCATTTGTCCCATTGTGTGGACTCCTGGGAACATTTTTTCATAGAACTAGATGAATAGTTTCCTTGTTGTGCAAAAACTTTTTAATTTGATGTAGTCCCATTTGATTATTTTTTCCTTGCCAAAGGAGACATATCCAACACATTATTACTAAGAGCAATGTTAAGAGTTTATTGCCTATGTTTTCTTCTATGGAGTTCTATGGTTTTGAGTCTTAAATTTAAGTCCTCAATTCACTTTTTTATTCTTGTATATGGCAAGAAAATGATCCAGTGTCATATTTTTGTGTCTGTCCAATTTTCCCAACACCACTTAATGAAGAGACTGTCTTTATTCCATTCAATATCTTTGCCTTTGTCATAGATCCATTGACAATATAGGTGTGGGTTTTTTTCTGGGCTCTCTACCCTATTCCATTGATCTATGTGTTTGTTTTTATGCCAGCACCATGCTGTTTTAATTACTATAGCCTTGTACTAGTAGTATAGTTTGCTATCAGGTAGTGTGATCCCTCCAACTTTGTTCTTTCTTCATTGCTTTGACTATTTGAGGTCTTTTGTGGTTCCATATACATTCTAGGATTATTTGTTTTAGCTATTTGAATAATGTCATTGGTATTTTGATGGGGATTGCATTGAATCTGTATATTGCTTTGGGTAGTATGGA